TGAAGACATGAGACACTACTTACTCTTCGGGCGATTTGCGGATTATCTGTTCAATCACTTCCACCTCGTCCTCCGAGTCCATGTCCACGTCGTTCACGAGGCGTGGATCCACTTGAGTGGACATTAGGTGCTAGGCTTTGGTCGATTAGCTGATCCCAAGACGACACCACAATAGACACCAATCACTCACACAGTGATTACTCACGAGAAAGACTTCACAACACATCCAACAATTACGTCCATTAATGCTGAGGACAGGGAGGGCACAGAAGTTTGGTTGAATGCCTCACTGTATTGGATACTGTGGTCAGTATGAGAGCCCACAAAGGGTTAGATAAAGTTTTTACAGACTTTTAATGGTATTTAAAGCCGATTCCCAACTAATGGTTGAATGCAATGCAATGGTTGTGTGAGTACTGCCAACCCGTTCCCCACTTGACTTCATTAACACAATTACATCATACATACAGTGCCTCTATTCTGTACTGAACTCACGGTAATTACAGCTATACTGTACTTTGTAGAGTAGTACAGGTGCTCTGTTAATATAAGGAACTGGCTTACAAAACCACGATTGCATAGATACTGGAGTCAGTGGGAAGGGTGGGTAATGTTAGAGCTATTCCTAACTTTATGATTACATACAGTAATTAAGTTATGATAAGAATCTGTAGAATTATTTCCGATATACTCTATAAAGTATTTGCTGTTAATTGAAATATTTGTGATACAATCGATTGAACCGAATGTCGGATTCGTTGACTAAATGCTAAATATGAGGAAATCTTAGAGTGAAACGCGAGTCCAAAATAAAACAAATTCAAACCATATTTGAAACAAATATTTTATTTATTTATTACATTTAGAATAACGTGTCGTAAGATATACTGTATGTCGAGATAAATAATTGTAATTATCAATAGAATACACACAAATTATTAATATCTTATTGTATAATCAAAACAAAATTTTTCGTATTAAATATTAGAATTCAAATAATCCAATAATAATTGGCTTTTCGTAACTAAAACACAAATATGTTTTATAAATACAATATTAATTGCAATCAATAAACGACTTTTAATTAATACTAAGAATAGGATTAAATGAATAACTATTTGGAGAGCTATTCGTTTGAATATAGAAACTGACGAATAATATCTGAAAAACGTTTCCAACGATTAATAGAGAAAAAAATGAATAGTTTTCTTGAAATCGACTCATACTTATCATATCAATAGCAAAACAAAACAATAGAAGTGTTAAACAAATGGCAATCAATCAAACTCTTCAATGAATCCGTTTCTAGTGTTTCGCGGCTGATGTGAGACCACTGGTTGGGGGCCAGCGGTGGGGCCATTGCCACGGCGACGGCCCCTCTCGGGACTCAACAGCTCTTCAATCGTGTCGTTCACATCGAAACCATTCTTCTCGAGTAACTCTTCGTTTAGCTTTTGATTCCAAAATCCCATTTCAAAGAGTTGTCGCAACGCACTGGACAGGCGTGTGGGCGCCTCTTCGGGTGGGCTCACGGGCGCAGCCACCGGAGCGGTCGGTGATGTCATATACGCCGATCCTGGGGTCGACGCAGTCATGTGTGGAGCGACGGGTGAAGTCGTATTTTCGACGGTCGGTCCGTTGGGGGCACTCATGTGTGCAGAGGGAGCGCCCGGAGGATCGTAGTATGAATATTGTTGGGGCCGACGGTCCCAATACATGTCTGGCAAGGGTAGGGCCGCCGGTGGGGGCGATGTAACCCAAGCAAAGTTCGCGCCCTAAAATACAATACAATTATGGATTTGTTTAATACACGGATTCACGACAACAACTGTTACCTCATTTCGTGAGAATAACGCTCGGCTTACGCTGTTATAGACGTGTGCGGCCGTAGACAGAGCGCCGGTCACTATGCTCTCCGGCAGGACATGAATCACATTTTCGGTCTCATTTGGGGTCGCGTTTCGAAAGGGATTCGTCGACGCGTTCAGCGTTTTGGGTCTCACCTGTGGCTCGCTTTCGGTTTGCGATGCGTTTGAGTCCTTAATCTCCGTTTCCGGAGTCGACTGTTCGCTATTCGAGTGCTTATCTGTTGTCAAATCCAATGGAGTTGTCATTTGATCGTTTGTGTCCAATATATCGACATTTTCAGCCATAAAAGCGTTTCCATCTAAATGTGTGTTGTCTTCGTCCGAATCGAGTGTTTCGTCATTTTTAGCCATATTTTCATCGATCACTTCAAAGCATTTGTCGTCGTCTTTGTTGCGCAGACTGTCCTCATCTCTAATGTCTTCAAAGGCTTTGTTGTCGACACCAGAGAAGGGGACGTTGAGGTCGAAACAACTCGGGAGGGGAACCAACACAAACTCATCGGAACTCTCGCCGGAGCTCAGACTCAACACATCCAACGACTCGTTGTCCGACTCCTCGCCCTTGTCTTCCTCTTCCTCTTCCTTGCGTTTGTCTTCACTCTTGTCTTTGGGTTCGTTTGAGTCGCTCTTATCGGGTGACTCGAGTTGAGTGAACGAGTTGGAGGCGGACGTGGGTTCGGGCGACTTGGGGGGCGACACGTCGAATGGGGTGTTGGTGGGGGTGGCGGTGTGCGACTTCACGGGACACCTCATGGCAATCGGTTCGCTCTCATCCAAGTCGAAGCGAATCTCTTTAACGGCAGTCAACGCTTCCGTCAGTTTCTTAACCGAAGTCTTTTGGGTCTTCTCTTTGTTGGTGGTGTTGAGCGCCGACTGTTTGGCGTAAGCCATGGCTTTGAGGCGTTCGCTGAGATGGCGCTGAGACTCCAGAATCGACGCGTGAATGTTAGCAATGGAATCGAGGTTACAATTGGTTGCACCCAAACCGTAGTAACCGTTAGCGTTCAGACTGGACTTCGGCGCCGCTTTGGAGGTCGTGGCGGCTCCCAAAGGATGGGTTGCCGTACTCTTTGAATCCTTCGACAAAATGGGGGCCAACGGTGTCATGGGATCGGCCGACGGGTCGACAATCACTTTGCACTCCAAACGCTGACCAAATGGCTGTCCCCTATGGTGTAGACGCCAATGGCTTTGATAGCGGGTGGGAGTCGATGGGTTGGGAGAAGTGAAACGAATGGTAACTCTTCCCTCTTCGCCGGGTCTTAGGGTCGGCGCCTGTACTTCAGTGACGCGTCCAAAGGGTTCCAACTCCGGGTGTCCCCACACGTAGCGCAGGGTTGTCCTACCCGTCCATACTTTGGTTCCGGTGTTCCGCACTTTCCACGTCTTGCGGAAGCGAGTGTTGGGCGGAACTCGTGTGCCCTCAGGTATGGTCTCGTCGCCGACCAACAGTCCACTCAAATACAGCTTCTTATTGGTGGCGACCGCCGGGTTTTGAATGTGTGTGCCGTATGGCGACTGTTTGATGCGCTCATAGGTCGAGAGTGTCGTCCGCTCGTCACTCGATTGCAACAAATTGTTATACATTTGACTCTTGAATCTAATCGACAAATCAAACGACAAATTATTTCAATACTATTTCTATCGACAAATCCATTTCAACGCTTACTTTAGTTTCTCCAACTTCTTAGCGATTTTGTTGGCCTTCTTCTCGGACACGTATTTTCTGAGGTGCACTTGGGGTCCGACACCACTGGCCTCCCCTTCCCCTTCATTGGTAGTGCTCGTGCAGCCATTGCCTTGCGTTTGATTGTCTGACTCCGCATTTTGACCGCTCGTCTGAGTGGTGGTCGAGTTCGAGGGAACAGTTTTGGGGACATTAGTGGTACTAATGGTTCCGTTTCTTAGGTCCACGTCCAGCGCGAGGATAACGTCGCGAGTGTTCGGATCGATAGTGGCCTCCGACAGGAAGGGCTTCAAGAAGTCCAAGTGATTGGGAATCGGCTGCTGAGGAATGCCGCAAATGTATCGCTCGATTTTGTTGAACGCGTGGCTCGAGTCGTGAACTGACGGCAATTGCTTGCATTTCTCGCATAAATCAAAATCCAAACAATTAATACATTTATAGCGAACGCCCTCCACCTGGAGGTCGCAGTTGTCGCATATGATGCCTCTGTGGACCACTTTTGCCGTCTCCACCATTGGCTCAGCCCTTGGCGGCTCTGGTCGGGCGTCGGGTGCGGCGGTGGCAGTGGAACTGGTGTTCGACGACCCGCTCGCCACACTGTTAGCGATGCTCTCAGTTGTCATTTCTGTGAGACATTCGGTGAGCTTTGAGATCAATCGCTTCGTGACATCGATAGTGATCTCATTCTTAATGCTCTCGATTTGGGTTTTGGTCATCACAACAAAATTGTTGTCCAATTGTGTCGATGAGTCGGACCTACTCTTGGGCTCAATGTCCGCGGGATTCGTGTCCAGCAAAACAAAGTCATTCCGTTCGGCGCTGCCATTGGAATCAATGGACGATCGCTTCGATTCTTTATTCTTATTATCAGAATCTCTGGAAGTGTTGCCACTCTTAACGCATATATCGTCCACTGTATTACTGATCATCACATCGAGTGGTTGTCCGCAGAGTTCTGCCACCTATTCATGCATTGCATCAAAACAAACAAATTCTTAGTAAATGACATCAGAATTAACGATAAAAACACTAAACTATTGCTATAATTGTAAATAATTACCAAAAACTCGGCACTGATTGCAAAGATTGACATTTTGGTGACTATTTTATGAAATCATTGTTTTCAATGACTAATCAACACTTGTTTGTGAAAAACAATATTCTCTACGAAATAACGAGACATTCAGTGACAGTAAGACGCAAACCATTCGTTCATTTGTCTCAACTGTAGTACTAAATCATAACAACACTGTCTTATCAGTGAATTGAGTAATAATTTGTTACGTTAGACGATATCTAAGTGTTAAATCATATGATTTCGTTTTAACTTCAATACAATACAAGACTTATTATTAGATATCTTATAAATATTAAATAAAAACGTATAATAAAATGTCTTATAATAAAACATATACTGTAAATAAAACCAGAAAATATCAAAATATACACAATATTGTAGACAATAATAGGGTTAAGGTTCGGGTAATTACAGAAAAACTTTAATTAAGTGGCAAAATCCCGGAATTAACACTGCTTTCACTTCAATATTTATTAATGCATTAAAAATACATATTAAAGTAAATTAAACAAAATTATCAATAATTAAGTCCCTAATGAAAGCTTTGACAATGAATTCAATGCTATAATGAATGCGTTGATGGGAATAGAGTCCAAGTTTTTGGACCTATAATATCAACAAAATCTTAACCAAACAAACATTTTGTTAATTAAATAAAATTAAATCTCAAATATTGAATTCAATTCCCCATTAAGCTAATCAAAAATACACACAATTTTAATATCACATTAAATTTAATACAATATTTCGCACACAAATAAAAATGTAAAACTACTTAAAAATAAAATCACTTTTCAAATTGAATTTCACTTAACAACAAATAACTAACAAATGAATCGCTTATCAAAACACAATTAATACAATTACATGGAGAAAGTGGACAAAACAAATGCATTGAATTGATGCGAACAACACTTGATTTGTAAACTAAAATGCAAACATTTTTTCGTATCAAACAATTTAGAGGAAAATTCATGCAATAAATGGGTTCTCATTGGAAAGTGTGTCAAAAAATGTTATTCTCATTCAATCGATGTGTTTCTCTCGACAAATCACTTCAAAGCATTTGTTTTACTTTTAATTAAATTGTTTGCAACAAAATATTTAATATTAGTTTAAATTGAAAGCCTTTATACAAATGCAAAAATATTGTACACATCCGTGATTACCATATCATTGAACACACAATGATTTAAAAATCAATGCTCAGGGTATCGCTATGACCCTTTAGGTCAGGGGTCACGCAATTGCAATCAATTTGAGTGAGTATTGAATATTCATTTTAATGCCTATTTATTTCAAACTAACGATACGTTTGCTAAACAACGCGACAATGAGTGGTATGGGACTCACCTTAAGAGCAGTCAAGTAGTCGTCTTCGGTGGTGAGGAGTCCCTCATATCCGGCCGACTCTATGCGCGCCATAAACACCGCACTCTTCGGCACTTTCGCCATATTCTTGAAGTTGAGATCCAATACCTGTGCGGACGGACACAACCACTCATTACATGTCTGTCGTCACCAATCAATGACTGTTACGGTTGACTGACCTGTTGTTTCACTTCATGCCAATGGGAAAGGTATCCATCGGTGTTGGCGTACGGTTTGGTCAGTGGGATGACCGACAGCGACACAAACCCATCGGTCGTCGAGTTCTTCGCCTTATATATGACACGAATGTCTTCGTTGAGAGACATACCCGACAAATGGTCACTCAATTGGTCCGTCTGTTTGGTGTTGTGGTTGTCGTCCTCCTCAGCGTCTATACAATCGGCAGATATTCTCATTGTTTTTGTCCACTAATCACGCGTTCAGTGCAGACATGGATTGCAAATCAAAGCGCTATGTCTTCGGCCCGAAGACACCATTCACTCAATTGTCACTCAATGGTCACTGAATTGACTGCGATTTCCATACGTTTTGAGACGCAATACATTTAAATGGCAGTTAGAGTGACATCAATAACGCCGTCAACGCACGCCTGCCCTCCCGTCCCCCTCTATGCTAAGCCTATGGCACTCATGCCAACACAACAGTACGTACGCCATGAGAGGCCCCGCGTATTGACTCGACTCAGGCGTCGAGTGTTTTGTAAACAAATGCCTTCAAAAGAGACAATCGTTTCGTGTTTTGGTTTTCGCATAGCCTTTGAATCTCATATAGTTTTCGCACCGATTTTCCTATCATTTCGTGTCATTGTTGTCATTGTTATGTCATTTCATTTCGCTTTTTATTTGCTTTATCTCTGATTAGGCACTCAATTGCACACAATTATGGCGATTATATACATTACATATGTTTTCAGTTTAGGATTTAAAAGGCTGTTATAATTGAGAGACAGTGCAGGCATACAGTGATTATGGGATATAGGCTTTGATTTGCAACTCACGTATCGATTGGTTTTTAAATGAGATTTAAATTGTTTTCAGACAATACTCACGGATTGTAAATTGAGTTATTGAGTGATGAAAGCGATACTGAATTAGCGTTGAGTTGTGAACCACTCGTTGTAATTGCAATCAAATGTAATGCAGTACTGAATGTGCGGTTGTGTTGACTGCGTTCACAACAGCACTGAATGCCATACACTGTATGACTGTATGAGTGTTTCTCTATGTATTGCTGCACTCAACGCAATGCTAGTCAATGCACAACGCATTCATACAATGAGTTGCTTTTTATTCATATCTCTTTGCACTGTCGTATGAGTCAAACCAATACTTTTAAATTATGTGTTTTAGTTTTTTATTGACTTTTACGTATGTATAATAAGTTATGTAACATGGCTTTATAATTAGGATTTCTCGCATAGTAGGTATAATAATGATTATTTGATTTGTATTCACTAATCAATACCCCTTATAACGCATAGAAATACAATATGAGTTCGAAGTTATGAGCATGGTCATGTTTGCAAACTTCTCTTGTTACATTTTTATTTATAGAAAAAATTTTTGTTGTATAATACAGTTGTAATATATGAATTTAATTTATGTTTTTTTGCTATTTATAAATCAAAATGTATTATAGTTAGCAAATTATTACTATAATAAATGTTTTAACACTTAATTTAAAGTTATGAATTTATGAAAAGTTTGCAAAATACAAAAATAGACTCGCGTTAAAGTATTAAAAATAATATTGATTTTAGTCGATTAAAAATAAGGAAATATTAAAAATAATTAGTCATTAAACAAATAATAGGAAATCGAGTTAAATAATAATATAATTATGATTACAATAACAGAAAGTGAAGTAAATATACGAATACATCGATTATATTGAATTGATTGCTGAGTGAAAGCATCCAATTGTGTCTCTCGTGGACCGACCCGTGAATGTGAACCAAATGTTGAGCAGAATATTCCGGCATAACTTGCGATGACTTTAAAACTTTAGTTATATTAACATTAAGTTTTGCAGCGGTTATCATAGCTGGCCTATGGGTTGGCCGATGCCATACAATCGCCATAAGTATGACCAGAATATAATAAATTGCACACTATTTTATTATGTACTAGATGACTTTTCTTGAGATACCAATTGCACACCAAACCAAATGAAAGGGTTTACAAAAGTGTCCGATAATGGTATGGAATTGATGTTTTTATAGAGAAAACTGGAGTTTTGTATTTGTAATTATCATTATTTGAATATTTTTCACAAATATGTATTGATTATTATAGAAATCTATTATTTGTGACATTTATTTCCTGTATAACCCTTTCGCGCAAAATATTCTTAAATAATGTATTTATTCCGCGAATTTAAAGCTAAATAATTCAACTAATGGTGAATAACATT